AAGAGGAAACAGGACAGGAAGTGGCAGAAGAGGAAGGAGCAGGGGGAGGAGGCAAGATAGGGGAGCATTGAGGGGCTCTGGACAGTGCCCAGGGTCCCTGATTGCAGCCTGGGGGGTCTGTACAGCTCCCAGTGTGGCCTGATTCCAGCCTGGAAGTCCTGGCACTCCCCAGTCTTGGCCTGGGGGGGTCTGTAAAGCACCTAGTATCCCCTGATCCCAGCCTGTGAGGGGCGGGGGAGGGGGGTTGGACACTCACAGGCTGTTGACAGGGCTCTGACCTGCTGATAACAGGGTGAATGCCCTATATCCAGGGACACTGGGACCAGTGGGAGCCTCTAACTGGAGGCCTGGCTGGGATTGAGTCCACATTGGTACCTATGGGGTTAAATCTACCCCAGAGGTGGGGAGCAGAGGTGTCCCTGCTGACTGTCCCTCATCATGCCTTTGTTTTCCAGGGCTGTGCCTGGCACTGGGTTTGTGGGGAGTCATGGTCCATGCTGAAGGTAAGGCTGATGCCGCCCTGGGGGGCCCCAGCTGGGGCATTTAAGCCCCCCCCCACACACGCGCTGGAGCAGGAGGAACAGTTGCCCCAGACAGCCCATTGCCCCTTCCTGGGACAGGCCTGAGGCTGCCTGAATTTCCACCCTCCCCACAGCCCTGGCCTGTGCCTCCAGGCAGTGGTGCAGGGCGGAGCCTTCTCACCCTGTTTCCATCCCCTGCAGGCATACGTGAGAACTGTACCGAGATCTGCCCGGAAAATTCCTTCTGTGTGAATGCCACCCACTGTACCTGCCAGTCTGGGTTCAAGTCCCTCACTGAGGCGCTCTACTTCCTTGGCGACAGCGACGTCTGCGATGGTAAAGGGGACCGCCAGAGGGGCACTGGTGGGTCGGGGCTCAGCCCCTCTGCCTTCCCACACAAGCAGGGGAGAGTGGGGACTCAGGGTCCAGCTGGGCGAGGGGGCAGGAGTTGCCCTTGGGGCCTGGATGTCTGGGTTCAATCTTCTGAGTCCCACCCTCCCACCCCGTTCCCTCCCAGTCACAGCGGGGGTGGGGGGAGGTGAGGAGGGTCCTGGCCCCATCCCAGCACAGAGGTGTTGCATTCAGCTGAGAGTTAGGCCCCCAGACTCCTGGGTTCCATTGCCTGATGGGAGGGACCCCCAGCATGGGGGATGGCAGGTCCTGGGCCCATTACAGTGCTAGGGGACCTGAATGCGCAGGAAAAACAGGCTCCAGGGGGCCCAGAGCCTGGGATCCATCCTGGGATCCAAGCCTGGGATCCATCCCCTGGAAGCTGGGGGCGGGGCATGTCTCCAGGGTACCCCAATGGGCTCCAGTGCCCAGTGGGTCCAGGTGGGGTGCATAAAAGGATGCCTTTCATCCAGAGCTGACCCGTCCTACACTGTGAAACCTGTGGCCGTAGGGGGCCCTGTAGCTAAGGGTCTCCCTGCATCCAGCCGCTTGCCACCCCCTCCCCCTGTTGCCAATGCTGCTGCTGCCTTCTTTGGCTGCTCACCACCCCCCACCCCCCAGCTTCTTCAAGGCAGGGGGCCCCAAAACTATTTCTTGCAGGGGACCCCAAAAAATTGTGGGCCAGTCCTGCTTTCATCCCACAAAGGGGCCCAGACTCCTGGGTTGCATGTTCCTGGCTAGGTCTGGGATGGGGAAGGTTGGGGGTGTTCTGGAGTCTCAGCACGTCCCTGGCGTGTTGCAGATGTGAATGAGTGCACAGTACCTGGTCCACCGAAATGCGATTCCAATAAGCAGTGCAACAACTTCCCTGGTGGATTCAATTGCACATGTATCCTTGGATTCACGGCTGAGCCAGGCAAGGAGAACTTCACAAATACCAGTGGCACCGTGTGCCAGGGTAAGAACCCCCCCATGTCCCCACCCACCCAAGCTGGGGCTGCCCTGGGGAGCAAGGATGGCTCCAGCCACCACCCATGGACCAGGCCACAGGCATCCCTCATCCTCTGCTGTGGGCTGGGACCTCAGGGGGTTTGTCCAGGGAGGGTGGGGTTCTGGGTGTGGGGAGCTGGGGGACTCTCTCTGTCCCCATGGGCAGGATAAGTGCCCCTAGACTGGGGAGGGGCCATGGGGCCCAGCCCAAGGTGCTTCCCCAACCCTCCTTCCACCCCCTCCCCATCAGGGCAGAGATCACCCCAGTCAGCAGTATGCCTGGTGCAGCACTCAGGGGAGAGTCTCTCCAGGGCCTCTAGACAAATTCCCAAGCTGGGGCTTTCAAGGGTTAACTGGGCCGGCCTGGACATTTCATGCTGGTACCTTGTCACACACCCCCAGTAAGTCCCTGTTCTAGCACCTGAGCCCTTCCCACCTAGTAATAACATGGGAGGGGGGTCCTGGGGCCATCCCAGCACACAGGAGCCTAGATACAGGTGGAAAACAGACCCTGCCAGTCCGTGACACCTGGGTTCCCGTGGCCTGAGCTGGGTTCAGAGGGGGTTGGGGGCTGATCCAAGGGGCATCTCCTGCTGGCTTACCATGTTCCTGATGTGTTGCAGACATAGACGAGTGTGTGACACTGGGGCATGACGTGTGTGGACCCAATGCCACCTGCATCAACATCCCCGGGAGCTACAACTGTGTCTGTGCTGTGGGGTACCAGGCTGATCCCAGCAAGGAGAACTTCATGGGGTCCAACAACAACACCTGCCAGGGTATGCCCCCCTGCCTTTGCTGCACTCCCCCCATCTGCTCCTGGGCCCAGCTCCCAGCCTGGAGGGGGCTGCCCCCCTCCTCCTCTCCCCCCCAGCTTCCTACATCTGTGGAGTGTAAATCACAGCCACCTCAAGGTTGGTTTAACCCAGCAGTGGGGATCAGGGATGGGGGAGCCCTTGGGGATTGGGACCTGGAGCATTGGTGTTGTCTTGGTCCCCGGACTCCTGGATCCCATTGCCCTGGCTAGCACCAGCAGGGGATTGGGGGGCATCAGCATATCCCTGGTGTGTCACAGATGTAGAGAATTCATGTTGGTGGGCCTGAAGGTGTGTAGGCCCCACACAATGCACCAGTGTCTCTGAAAATTACAGCTGTGTCTGTGAGCCAGGGGTTTGAGTCCCACCCCAGGAAGGAGAAGTGTGAGTCTGGGACTCTGGATAGCTCTGGGGTGTGAGTGAGAACATGTGCAGAGGACAGATCCCTCAGCTCTTGATGCTCCCTATAGACCCCCACCAGACCTGGGGCTGTTCTGGAACTCTGGATAGTTCTAGCTGGCACCCATGTGCACCATCTCGACCTGGATCACCCATGCCCCCATCCCCTCCAGCAGGGGCAGTGGCATCTGCCCTGTAATCCTGAAAGGGAAAGGAGCTGGGGCAACTACCCACCCCCCACCCAGACATACTCTAGGCAGGTCCCTATTCCAGCACCAGAGACCTAGAAGCGGAAGGGTCCCAAGGCCATCCCAGCACATAGCCTGGATGCAGGTAGAAAACAGGCCCTGCCAGTCCATTCACCTGGGTCCCATGGCCTGGATACCTGGGTCCCCCTGGCCTGGGCTGGGTCCAGAGGGGGTGAGGTGTAAACTGAACTCTCGCGCCCCCCCGCCCGATGCTTTCCTACATCTGTGGGTGTACATCGGAGACACCTGGGGGCTGCTCTAACCTGGGACTGGGAGTGGGGGAGCCCCTGGGGATTAAGCTCTGGAGGGCTGGTGTCTTGGTTCGGGGATGCCTGGGCCCCATCACCCAGGCTGACCCCAGCAAGAGTTTGGAGGGCAGCATGTCTCTGGTGTATTGCAGATGTGGACGAGAGATGCTGCTGTGCTCTGTTGGCTTCACTCAAGCTGCAGCTGTTTGGTGCTTTTTACTGACAGCTACAGGTTTTGTTTTTTTGTACAGACTTTGCTGATTTTTTTTACTGACAGGAAATTTTACTGACAATTAGCAACCCACCACTACCCGCACCTCCCTACAGGCTGCCTAAGGCCAGGCCTTCTCCTAACCTGACCTGACCTGACCTGTCCCGTTGCAGACATAGATGAGTGCCGGGAGAATGTCAGTGCCTGTGCCCCCCATGGGAACTGTATCAACACCCCCGGGGACCTCATGTGCACATGTAAAGCTGGCTTTGCGAAGAGAAATAAGGGCGAGGCCAAGATCTGCATAGGTACCAGCAACCCCAATGCCCAAAGCCCTGTGATGGTGGTAGTGGGGTGGGGGTGGGTGCGTCTTTGCAGCTGTGGGAGTGGCAGAAAGGTTGTGACCCCTCCTGGTGGCCAAGGAAAGGATCCTGGATTGGAGATCTCACAGGAAATTCAGGCGGATTCCCCTTTGGAGCCTTGAGATCTCTGCCAGAAGCACTGTGTGGGGGCTGAGAACCAGCAGCGAAAATGAACCTGACATTGTCCCGGGATTGACTAGAAAGCATCAGAGATTAACAACATTAACAAGGATTCAAGTCATTCCCTCCCTGATGCCACTGATGGGTGTTACTGAAAGAAGAATTACCCAGACAGTTACAATTAACAGTGACCATTGTAATGAATCCTGCTGACTCTGTTGACCCGTGCGGTTGTGATTGGTTGAGTGTGGAGATGGCAAAATTCTCCGGAATCTGGGAATTTAACCATGATGTGAACCGGCAGTGCTGGGGACAGTCACGTGGAGAGCTTGACCTGGATCACAGGAACTAAAGGAGCCTGGGGTGCTGCTGTGATCCATCCCCACCCATGAGATTTGCTGGAATCCACCTGGATTCCTGGAATCGCCTAGATCCAGTTGTGATGGGGAGCGGGGTGGTGGCTAGAATCTGGGGAATCCTGTGAGACCAACCAGGATCAATGAGATGAGGCTGGATGGGTGGAACTGCCTGGATTGGAGATATTCATTTTTATGAGTGAAATTACCCATGATTCATTAACTCAAGAGCTGTCCAAGATCTCAGGCCCCAGGGGCCACTTATGACCACCCCCTCCATGCTGCTTGTGGGTATGGAATTTCCCTCCTGCCCAATCCTCTGTACAGGGCCTAGACCTACCCTTCTGGGGCTGGGGGCAGGGTGTTGGGCCTAGGGGAATTCACCTGGATGCTGCAGTTGCCCTCTTGGAATCATGTGGATTAGAGCAATTAGTTGTGATGGAAGAAATTAACTGGCACAGCTGAAATGAAGGGAAATCAGGGAAGTTTACAGGGATTGCTGGGATGTGAACCCACCTTTCATTGAGATCAGAGAAATTAACCAGGATTGTGTCATTAACCCTGATGATGTCATTAACCAGCAAGGCTGAATTTACCCGAGATCAGTGATTGCAGTGACACTAACCCTGATGATGTCATTAACCAGCATGATGGAATTAACTGGAGATTAAGAGATTGTAGTGAAATTAACAGGGACAGGTATAATTAATGGTGATGATGCCTAATGAGGCAGCAGGGTTGAAGTTCCTTGAGGTCAGAGATTGCAGTGACATTACTGAGGACTGGTGTCATTAATCCTAATGATATAATAAACCAGCAGGGCTGAAGTGAAGGAGATCAGAGATTGCAGTGCAATTAATGAGCCTCAGTGTAATCAACCCTGATGATGTCATTAATGGGCCTTCCTGAAATGAACTGAGGTCAGAGATTGCAATGAAAGGAACCAGCCTCTGTAATTAACCTGGATGATGTAATTAACCTGAACTAATTTGAGATTGGTGAAATTAAGGAGGATTAGGATGTAATTAACCCTGAGGCTACAATTACCCAGCCCAGCTGCAGTGAAGTACAACCACTGCACTATGCCTGAATGGCCAGAATTAATTGTGTTCCGTGTAACTAACCTCGATGCTGTCATTGCTGGGCAGCAGTGAAATTCACTGGGATCCAAGATTCCAGGGAAATGTTCTCCTGGATCCACAAGTTCACCTGGATGATGAAATGCACTGGGATTGGCTGAAAGGAGGGGAATGGATGCAACTGACTGGGCTTGCTGCCAATGATTGGTTGAAATTTGGGGGAATTGATGATGTCATTGACTCTGATGTCACTGACTCTGGGGTTATGCCGAGTTAGCTGGTGTCACCTGTGGTGGCTGGGATTCCCTGGGATCCAGGCAGCTGGTGGGGCTGGCTGTGATTGACTGGGTACTCTATCACTGGGTTCCATTTCAAACCAGTCCAGGTCCCTGCGCCTACTGGGAGCTGTTCCTGTCCCCCTGCTCCCATCTGGCTTTTGCTTCTGCTAGCAGCTGGTGCCCCCGGTTCCCCCAAGTCTGTGCCTGTAGCAGGATCAAGCTTGCAGCCTACCAGGGTGCCAGTCCACTAAGGGTGCAGCTCTGGAGCTGGCAGCAGTAATATAGGCTGTTCTCAGAGGCCTCCCAGTCTGGGTGTGTCAGGCTATGGCCCTGCCTTTATTGGACAGCAGCAAGCCATGTCCCTGTGCAATACTGTGTGTGCACAAGGCTAGTGCAAGCCCCACCCCCATGCAACACCCATGCATGTGTACAAGACTAGTGAGAGCCCTGCGTCTGTAATGGTGCATGTATGTGTACACAAAACTAGTGCAAGCCGTACCCCGTGCAACACCAGTGCATGCAAGTGCACAAGAAGCGCACATCCTACTCCCATGCAACACCCGTGCATGCGCGTGTGACACTAGTGAGAGCTCTGCCCCCCCTGTAACACCAACAGGCATATGTGCATGAAACTAATGCAAGCCCTACCCTGTGGAACAGAAGCATGTGTATAGGCATGAGACTAGTGGAAGCCCTGTCCCCTGTGCAATGCCAGTGCATGCATGTGCATAAGATTAGTACAAGTCCTGCCTCTGTTACCACCATGTACATGCACATGAGACTAGTGCAAGTCTCCCTGCCCTCGTAATAGTTGTGCATCCCCATGTGACTGCTCACAAGTGTGTGTGGAGGGAACTGTTCACAGGGATTCTAGAAGACCCTGGCAGCAAAGCCCCGCTGCCAATTCTGGGGAAAAGAGATCCCATGGCCCAGTCCAGAATTAGTGTCACCCCTTAGAGAGCACAGTGAGTACCCCCTGAAGACATGGGGCATTTAAAGGGCCAGCACCCCAATTTTTCCCCCCTTTCCTCTTCCCTAGATATTGACGAATGCAAGAGGCACCCTTGCGACCCCCGGGCCACCTGCAACAATACACTGGGGAACTACAGCTGCTTCTGCCCCCCCGACTCTGTCCTCACCTCCGCCAGGGACCCCAGCGCTCCTGACAGGACTGTGTGCAAAAGTAAGGGGGTGGGGCAGGGGCTGAGGGAGGATTTGGGTCTCAGTCTGTCTGGGGGTGACACATGTACAGCCCCTGGTGCACTGGGCTGCCCCCAGCCCAGTGGGGCTGGGGCTCCAAGCCCCCCTCCGGCATCAGAGATGGGGGGCTTGGGTAGGCCTGGAGGCTACAGTGGGACCCTGGGTTCCAAGGGTGGGGAGGGCAGCAGCCTGGTGGGTACACCAAGGGTGGGATGCAAATGACTTGCAAATGAGCCTGTTTGCATAGGAATTCTGGGGACAAGGGGGGTTGTTACTGGGACACCTGGGTTCTTGGGTGGGCGGGGGAGCTCTCCTCGATACACGGAGGAGCCCCAAGGCCCTGTCGCGGGGTGGAGGGCTGGGGGGAGGGCAGTGCACATTTGTGTCCCTGCTGCCCCTATGGGCATTTGAGGCCTGGACTGCGTGTCCCGGACACCTGGGTTCTCTGTGTGCGGGAGACTTGGACACCGGGGTTCCGTGTGTGCCTGTGTGCATTTGTGTCTATGAACACACCTGCCCGCCCCCACTCTCCAGATTTCTCCTGCTCCTCCCTGGAACAAAGCCTCTGACCCAAGGGCTGGGTGGAGGCTGCAGATCTCAGCCCCTTTCCCCATAGGTGGCAGAGCAGGGTCACCCCAGCAGGGGACACCCTCCCCAGCCCCAGATCCCATTACCGTATTCTGAAGTATATAAGCACTCCTTAAAGACAACCCGAGGCCCAGAACCCACCCTAGAATGTTCCTAGGCCCTCTGCAGCCCAAACGGTCCACAACCCAGTCACATTGGGATGGTGGGGTTGGCTCTAGCTGGGCTGGGAGGTGGCTAGTACCCAGGGGGAAGGTGGGGAGGGGGCTTCACCGCTATTTTAATCCCTCCCCTGTTCCTTTAATGCATTGGGGGTGTTATATTCAGGTGAAACTTATAAACAGGAAAATACTGTAGACCATGGCCCCTCCAGTCCTTGGGGCTGTGAGCCCCCCCACTCTCCCTGCCCCCACTAGAGGGCTTGGAGGGGCCTGATCCTGTCTGCTGACTTCCTACCCCAGTTGTGGCTCCCCCTTCCCCTCTCCTCCTCAGGATGCCCCCTGTGAGCACAAGGCCAAGGTGGAAAACATATGTGATGCCCTGCGCAGCCGGCTGGATGCCCAGAAGGCCAAAGAGATCCTGAAGGTACTGGGGCTGGGGCACATTGGGCTGTAAGGCGGGGGGAGGGCTTGGGGGCAGGGCCTTTTGCCCCCTCCCCAGCTCCCATTGCCCCCAATGGCTTAATTGCTTGGGGAAGGTAAGTGCCTGGGGGGGTGTCCCACCTGACACCCTTGAAGCATCCTCCAGGGCAAAAATGCTGGGATTCAGCCTCCACCATCTTTTCACCATGCAATCTGCCCCTCTAGGGGCAGTAACTCCTGGGTTAACCCCTCGGGCCATGGGGCAGGGACATGCCTGGGGGGCTGATAAATCCCTCCCCCCACCCCCATGACTTCCTGCTGCTGCTGGAGCATAGCCTGGCCTCCCAGGCCCCCATGGAGCAGAGGTACTGGCGTGTCACGACCCTGCTGGCAGTAGCTGAGGACCTGATGCGGCTACTGGGCCCTGTCTTGGGCCCCAGCACCACCCTCAATACCAGTGCCTCGGGTCAGTGCCCCTCTCCCTCCCCCAGCTCTGTCCCCTGCCCACAGTGGGATCTCCCTGCAGTGCCCCCCTGCTGTTAGCTTGTGTCCTGCCCCTGCCCCCACTAAAGCTTGTACCCTGGCCTCTCTGTGGGGGCAGGGGGTATCTGCATGCTCCCCACAGTGGGAGCTCATGGCTCTGCCCTGCCCCGCCCCACCCCCACTAGGAGCCTCCTGCCCCCCTCCCCACGGGGATTCCTGCTCCACCATACCCCCCTGCTGGGAACCCCTTGACCACCTACCCACTAGGAGCTCCTGCCTCCTCATGAGGTGCCGCCCCTGCTGGGAGTTCCTGCCTGCCTGCCTGTGGTGTCCCCCCACCACCGTCCCACCCCCCACACACATCTCAAAGCCCCCATCCCACCCCCACCTACCCTAGTACTAACTGCCCCCTCTGGGCCTGCAGAACTGAGCCTGGTGCTGCAACCTGGGCCCTCTTCCAATGTGAAGTCCCTGCACCTGGTGCATGAGGCCGTGGGGCTGGAGCTGGACTGGGCAGTAGCTGCTGATAAGGGCAAAGGTAATGGGGGGCAGATGTTGGGTCCCCCCCTCTACAGTTGTCAGAGGGGCCTCCTGGTGGCTATGGGGGGATAGCCCCAGAGCCCCCTGATGCCAACCAGCCCTGCCCCATCCCAGGGCCAGCGCTGGCCGGGCTGCTATCGGTGCGGGGCCTGGGGAAGGTGCTGGAGGGTGCGGAAATCCAGGCCAAGGAGTGGACTGAGATCGAGAAACAAGTGTCAAAGTGGTCACAAGAGCCAGGTCAAGTGCAGTACCGGGTGGTGTCTGAGGTGGCCACTGCCGTCGTCACCCATGAGCAGCCACAGGGGCTGCAGTCCCCCGCTAAGCTCAACTTCACCCACAACACCACGGTAAGAGCCCCCACCCCCTTGTTTCCTGAGGTTCCCTCAATCTGGGACCCCCTATCCTATCCCCCAGGAGTCCCCCAGAGGTGGGAGAGAACCTAGGAGTCCAGGTTCCAAGCTCCCCTCCACTCTGCACTAATTTCCACTGACTCCCCACTCA